TCAAATTTGCTCCCTTGTACTCCCAGTATTAAGGTAAGTGACATAAAAAAAAACAAAAACAAAAAACACAGTACTATGCTCTATTATCAATTTCTGTACAATGGAGAAGTCAAAATTGTTAGCTTTACTCCCCTGGGTCTGAATGCAGCCCAAGATTTGAAAAATAGAAGGATACTCATGTTGATATGGAATATGTTCAGTGCCTTAGGCATGAAGGAACATGGCATAAATTACACCATTTCTTTATGTATAAAGAAAGCAAAACTGTTAGAAGTACCACATTTTTCCTCCTCCTGCTCATTGTGAACATTTGAAATTTACCTGTGTAACAAGGCCTACGTCCTTCAAGACCGATTAGTATAGACTGGTAAGTAAAAATTAGACACCCATGTCCTAAAATGGGAACATGGTTATGATGAAAACTTCTTTTCGATCAGCGGTAGTGGACATCAATGACAGTTGTGTCACTGTCATCTGATGGGATCTTCCCTGTTTTCTCTGTATTATTGTAGAGGGTTTACCTTGCAATATAAAGCAGCTTGAGGCAAATGTTGTTAAAAATTAAATCTACTAATCTATCTATGATAAATGACAAGCAAACAAGGACACTACTTGTTCAAGTCAACTGGCACAGGTCAGTCTTTCCAAAATACCACAAAGACAAATTTCTGATAATTCTACATTTTTATTAAAGTATGTATAAAATTCAAATACCATGGCCCCCTATCCTACCCCAACATGGTTTTGTCACTGTATACACATAAATTAAGCAATCTAGTAGAACTAAAATACTAATTTACATTATTTCACAAAGTAATCTGTATTTTTATGTATACAGAAAATTTGACATAACAGAGAGATAACAAGTCAGTTATATGTCTGGAATTGTCTGGAATTGTCATGTAACAAACTGCAATGGTGTTGAGTAACAAACCAAATAAAAAATTTAAATCATAAAAACTGAAACATTTTGACTCTAATGTCAAACTGTCCTCATATTTCATTCCAGGCTGTGCTACTAAACTTTAAAACAACTGTTATTTAAGTTACAGTGTTTAATTCACAGCATTTTCTTCATTTTACGACACTCTCCACGATGTCTAGAGTACTTTGCATTCCGGAGCAGTAGAATATAGAGCATGTAACCTTCTGTTTGTTGTACTGTGGACTGTTTAAACCGATGACCCATCAGGTATGCTTACGGGAGATGCGAGCAGGGGAACCAGCAGTAAGAGTAATAGGATCAGTATATGTGGGGGAAGTGGTGTAGCATGGTGGGTTGTCAAGTTCAGATGGAGATCCAATACTGTTGCTGGAGGAGTCATCTGTGGAAGGATCCTGCAAAACACAGTGACATGAGCCCAACTTCACTCTCCAAAAGTAATATTTTACTTTTATTAAATTTCATTGTGGCTATTTGTGTAGATGGCTCTCAGATTACCTAATAGCGAAACTCACTGGTTTCGGTTTCCTGAGCTTAGCCTGTGAGACTGATAAGGTGCTATTAAATGACCAAAAAGACTTTGATAGCTTGGTTTTGAAGTATATGCAGCTAATGAGACAGTTTATAATGAGCACCTTATAGCTGGTCTGTCTGTCCATGCAGCTATTAAACTGGCTAGCCTTGAGTTTTATAAACATTCCTTAGTACTTTTTTTGCCAGAACATAATGTTGCATGTATTCCTTGTAGTGACTTGTGGGTTTTATGCCTAATTGAATTCAATGCAAAGTATCACAAAACTGATCAAATATTTTGTCTACACAGAACAAGACAGCCCCCTAGAAAGCACCTCTCCAGGTTTTATAACCGCTCTCACCAAACACCAATCAATCACACAGGTAAAGTATAGCTGTGACGACAGTTATGAAATGTGAAAACGAAGTGTGAATTTGTATTAAAATAATAATAAATTTGAATACTAATTTATTTATTTATTTATTTATTTATTTATTTATTTATTTATTTATTTTACTTCATCACAGATTGTGTGCTTCCAAAAATACCACAGCACAATGGGATAAATGCAGTAACTTCACTTTATATCCTCCAGCAAAAGGTAACACTTTTCACTAACGGTCTTATTTTGTTACATTCTGTGAGTCGTGAATAACACCACAACAAATCTGAAGCAATCTGAAACTATCATCTAACAAATTTTGTCTTCTATTGCATAAACTTTGGGCATAAAACCCACAAGTCACTACAAGGAATACATGCAACATTATGTTCTGGCAAAAAAAGTACTAAGGAATGTTTATAAAACTCAAGGCTAGCCAGTTTAATAGCTGCATGGACAGACAGACCAGCTATAAGGTGCTCATTATAAACTGTCTCATTAGCTGCATATACTTCAAAACCAAGCTATCAAAGTCTTTTTGGTCATTTAATAGCACCTTATCAGTCTCACAGGCTAAGCTCAGGAAACCGAAACCAGTGAGTTTCGCTATTAGGTAATCTGAGAGCCATCTACACAAATAGCCACAATGAAATTTAATAAAAGTAAAATATTACTTTTGGAGAGTGAAGTTGGGCTCATGTCACTGTGTTTTGCAGGATCCTTCCACAGATGACTCCTCCAGCAACAGTATTGGATCTCCATCTGAACTTGACAACCCACCATGCTACACCACTTCCCCCACATATACTGATCCTATTACTCTTACTGCTGGTTCCCCTGCTCGCATCTCCCGTAAGCATACCTGATGGGTCATCGGTTTAAACAGTCCACAGTACAACAAACAGAAGGTTACATGCTCTATATTCTACTGCTCCGGAATGCAAAGTACTCTAGACATCGTGGAGAGTGTCGTAAAATGAAGAAAATGCTGTGAATTAAACACTGTAACTTAAATAACAGTTGTTTTAAAGTTTAGTAGCACAGCCTGGAATGAAATATGAGGACAGTTTGACATTAGAGTCAAAATGTTTCAGTTTTTATGATTTAAATTTTTTATTTGGTTTGTTACTCAACACCATTGCAGTTTGTTACATGACAATTCCAGACAATTCCAGACATATAACTGACTTGTTATCTCTCTGTTATGTCAAATTTTCTGTATACATAAAAATACAGATTACTTTGTGAAATAATGTAAATTAGTATTTTAGTTCTACTAGATTGCTTAATTTATGTGTATACAGTGACAAAACCATGTTGGGGTAGGATAGGGGGCCATGGTATTTGAATTTTATACATACTTTAATAAAAATGTAGAATTATCAGAAATTTGTCTTTGTGGTATTTTGGAAAGACTGACCTGTGCCAGTTGACTTGAACAAGTAGTGTCCTTGTTTGCTTGTCATTTATCATAGATAGATTAGTAGATTTAATTTTTAACAACATTTGCCTCAAGCTGCTTTATATTTCAAGGTAAACCCTTACAAATACAGAGAAAACATGAAATCCCATCATGACAGATACACTATCTC